GCGTATCGTATTATCGACGGCGGTGGTATGTTGGGAGTAGTAGTGATGAGGATAGTGCGTACAATCGAAGGACAGTGGGAGTTGCTTTTCAAACTAGGTAAGACACATAATATTTTTTAAGCGCAGCTTAGTTACTTATATTGTAACATCTTAAAAATACTTCGGCATTTCGGATTTCGGGCAAAAAATGCCTGATATTATTATATTGTTGACTGTATTTTAAATGTACAACGTGTTGAACGGTGAAGAAAGCATCGATAGGAAACCCGTATGTCAAAGAAATTAAATAAAAGATTGTTTCGAAGAGAGAAGTCTACCAACAAGGGACAGCGCGGCGGCCACTTCCTTGCCTTAAAACCCTATCAGAAATGAAAGAAAGCCTGTGTACAAGAGTAGGTTGTATACAAGCCGTAATTTTATTCTATTTTCAATGTCGTATGGTGAGTATTAAAACCAAATTACCCTAGTCTTAAGCGGTGGCTATGAGATATACCAAAAAAGATCTTATGGCATCTCATAGCGGTACTCGTATAAACATCGAGTTTTCATGATCCAGGCGTAAAATATCAAGACTGTCTGCCCAGCAACAGAGTCAGGTGTGAGACACTTCGAACTGGGGTCATCAATACGCTTGCCGAGCGTGACGATTAAGGCCCGGTAAGTGACAAGTGCGAGTGACAAGTGCAACTGACAGATGACAAGTGACAAGCTTAGTACGTGTGAACAAGCAGTAACAATTTATTAGTGTGAATAAAATACTTACTAACCACTTATCATTTGTCAGTTGCACTTGCCACTCGAACACGCCACTCGCACTTGACACTTCTCAAAATGTAAACCGTATAAGGGAAATCATAAATTAAAGATGAATTCTCGTAGGCAGTCACCACACGGTATATAATGACTATTTTCATCTATTTATTACATCCTATCAAAATCCAATGCTTAACACAGGTCTACCCAAAGACTGCCTAATATAGGGACAATTTGTTTAATAATTTTTGCCACAAGTGGTTTGGTAACTACATTTTTTATTACTAAATTGTTAATGATTTCTTATATTTAAGCAAATATTACACATGGAGTAAAACTAATTTAACGAATTTTATTGCCTTTTATTTAAACTTTTTTTTTTCAGTGACATCAGTACGTCAAACGCCACCAAGGATATAAAAACAAGTTTGTATATTTCGTGAACACCTCTGTCCCACAAGTGCTCGAAACGTCGGGAAATTTGCAAAAAGTTAAAATTAAACGCTATGGAGAAGACACTGTTACCTCTGGTTTCTTTTCCTGTGTACATAATAACGTAATTATTGTGTTCCATTAATTGTTTTATCCCCAACAAATGTTTACTATATTAAGCATATAGAGAGTTTTAAAAATAATTTGAATATTTATATCACTTTATTCTCAGAATATTTAAAAAAAAAACACGACTTTTAAGAGTTGTATTATAGGATAGTGTCTGATACTGCTTTCAACCGACTTAAAAAAAGAGGAGATTTCTAAATTCGACAATATTTATCAAAAAAATAGATGTGGGTCACAGCATCCACTTACCATCAGGCCGACTGTGTCCTCGTTTGTCACCCTTATTCTATAAAAGAAAAAAAAAATACAAATACTACGTATTTGTATGGCCTACAATAATTATTTCGGGACAGAATAAGTCTTGTTCCATTCGAACCCGCAGTCTTTAGCACTGCAACTCATCGCTATGTCTGGCGTCAAAGTTGTTATCAGATGCCTCTGCCCATCTCCTGTTTTTTCAGTCTTTTCCTGAACTCACTGGATGATACGGTAGTGGATATTTTTTCTTAGCCACCACTTAATAATTGGTCCTTCTTTAATATTAATAATGCTGCAATTTCAAAAACGAAAAATAATTATAATTTTAAAAGTGAAAAATACCAAGACCATGCCAGAGATGTAAAAAAATAATAAATTTAGTTTCTTAAAAATAACTAAAAAGAAATATGGATAAAAATTGATCCGTCAGAATCAAATAATCGGATTCTGTCTCCAATTTATATGTATTTCATTAAACTGAACGAATTTCGCTTCTTTAAGTACCTTCAACCCGATTATGTTTATTCGTACGACTTGGAACGTATGCCTATATTGTTTGCTAACAATAAATTACGATAAAACATTCAACTGATATTCGACAAAGCTTTTAATCGGGCGCACGTTACACCGAAGTGTAGCATTGTTAATAAATATTATTAAGAAATATTTTACTAAAGTTCAGCTTATGAATTTATGTAAGTTTAAGTAAAGTATGAAATTATGTTAAGTTTATTTAAAAATAGAATAAGGGTGACAAACGAGCACACAGTCACTCAATTGTAACTGGTTGCAGTGGCTTGTAGACATCTATATTTATCCTTGATTAAGGATCAAAACACATCAAAAAGCGCCCTTGAGAACTACGATGTAATGCCTCGTTTCTAGTAAAAAGAGTCTCTTCTTCTTCTCTTTACTCATCATACGAAACACAGCAGCATTAAGCTGCTATTTTACGTTGGTATTCTGTGAGAGGGGGATTTTCCCCGGACGTGCTGACCTATTCTCGTCAACCATAATATAGATGCAGCATGATTCCACCACGTATAAAACCATAGAACTCCTTTTCTGCCGTGGAGTTCGTCTGCGTCACGAACTTTCTGCTGTCAAGCAGCAGTGCGTACATTGCTGAGTAGGGTATGAAGGGTATAAAGAAACAATACATTTTAATAATAACAGGCTGTGAGGAATTCCATCTTAGGCTTCAGTGGTTACAACACATTAGCCTTATTTGTAGTTCATGACAGGTTTTATGAGCTGTCCACATGTTTTTCACTTATTAGGAAAATGGCAATGCGTTGTCACACATAAGAACCAATATAGAATCCCTCGTTACCAGGAAATGGAGTCTCCAATCCTTGTCACTCTGCATACTTAATAAAGCAGCATTTTAATCTGGTTTTCTGTGCAACTACAAACTTACTTGCAGGTGGACTGTAGTCCACCTGCAAGTAAGTTTGTAAAATGCACTGTAAGTAAGTTGCTAAAATGCACTGAAAAAAGTAAGTAATCTGGTGTGTTAAAAAACTATATAAAAATTTTACAACGTGAATTACTTTTCGTTGTGACATGCGGTGCCCTCATCAAATGGTACGCTCTAAGATTTACGTAGTTCTGATATTTTTGTGCTGCCAGTATAGAATTTATATGTGGGGTAACTTGGGTGTTTATTTAAGGGAGTTTTATTGATGTTTTTGTTCGAATATATTGCCCGTCTTCGTCTTAAGAGACGTATTTTTTATTCTTATATATTGTAATGGAGTTCTGTATTTTTTATATTATGAGAGCCTAAGTATCACCAATGAAATTGTTAATTGTTGATTTACCACATACTCCCCTCTTCTTTATATTTTGTAAGCATCGCTCTTAATTAAACATATTATATCTGCTGTTATGTATGTATACTACAGAAAAGTTATTAAATTAGAGCCAGTATTATTTATTCATACTACATAATTGTAGAAAATAATATACTAATGGACATTCTGTTCATTTTTAACCAAGTTCCTTTTGAAATTGTATAAATATAGTATTACATTTTAATTATCTTTCTTTATTCAATAAAAACTTTTATCCTACAAAGATATGTGAGCCTTATCGTAGTCTACATTGTTCCTTGTCCTATTACACTTATATAACCATGAGTATTTACAAAAGGGAAATGAATGTGTTAGGAATATAGAAATTAATGACTTTTCCAAATCTGAATGTGACATCGAAAGTATACTTAAAAACCAACCTATTTCATCCAAATTAATATAATATTTTTTCATCACATTCTCCCTTTCTCTTTAATTATATTACACATTCTACTAGCATGTTATGTTGGATATCCTTTTTATTTATATATTATATATTATGACAAATATTGCAATTAGATAAGTCTGTAATTTTCACCAAAAACATAGTTTTTTTATTGGGGTAGTGCCCAAAATATATAATTAGTTACGTGAGCTTAATTATGACCTTTGTTTTTACTGCTTTGCCGTCCTAATAAACCAAAACTAGGAGGTGGACAGAGGCATAAACACAAAGTTGTATACTATAACCATTATATTAAAAAAAAGTAGCAAACAAGCTTTGGCAATAATTAGGAACATTTCAAAAAATCTAAAAAAATAACCACATTACGCAATACTAACATTCGACTAAAATATTTATTATAATGTCAACTGTCAAAATGGCGTCGATAAAGCAAAGCCTTTTGACCCTTTATTATTTGATTGACTAATGAAGAGCTATCGTATCACAGAACCATATCTATGCAAACTAGCTTATAGTTTTTGAGTTATAAGAAAGTGACTATATTAACCGGATGACCATATTTCTTTCACGTACTTGTATAATAGTGGATGAAGATTTTAATGTTAGGTGATATCCTTAGTCCACTTAAAAGGAATAAAATTAAACTTTTTAATTAAAAAGTGAATCTATATCTAAAATTTAAAAGAATAAAAAATATTTCGACGTACTGGGGCTTTAACTCTTTGATCCACTTTGCCTTAGCACCGACTTCAGAAGCTACTATGTGGTAATTATTTTTATTTTAGTCTTTAAAGTCAAGTTTTCCTTTTTATCAAAGGTCTAGTGATTAAATCACCATCATCATCATAATAGCATAAAAATCATTTTTCGATAAAAATAAGAGGTAGATTTGTGTTTTTTTTCTCATCATCAACATTAATAAAGCCCTTCACAAATCCACTGCTGAACATAGGAATCCCCCAAGAAATGCTTCTTCACTTTATGAATTCAATTGTTAAATATGTTTTTTCAATTGCCATTTATTTCATAAATCGTTGTCATGTTCTACTGTAAAAGAACCATAAACTTACAATTTAAGAAATTATATAATAATTCTAAAATATTAGCAATGTTCATAACATTACTAGTATTTTTTTATATAAAAAAATCAATAACAGTATACTAACGAAGGTGGAGTTATTCATCAGTAATCTGGTGGTGAAATTGCGAACGTTGAACAGTGTGAGTCCGCCCCAGCGGTCGCGGAACACCAGTTCTTCATCTGGAACAAAAGAAATAGAATTTTAACGAACTTCACAATCTTACTATACTATACTATCGAGCCCAATAGCTTTTCATGTTCGAACTCATCGCTGAGACGTCGATCCACTTGGGCTTGGGAGCCCTGGCCTTCATCCATTCCAGAATCGACTTGATCTCCGGATCTTCCTGCTATGCATGTTATAAGCTGTCCCGAGCATCCTCACAGATACCGCTCCCTTACCCTCTGTTCTAGTGCATACATAATATACATAGCATATACATAACAAAAAATACATAAATACCTGCACCTCAACAGCCTCTCACCCAGAAGGGGAGGGGTATATAGGTGTAGCCTCTGCTATAGACTTCCATTTGGCACGATCCTGACGTACCTTACTCGCCTCTTCCATATCCATATATCTACACATACATGCTACAATTCTTTAATAAGTCGGTTGGTTAAGAGTACTCTTAATTTGGCCCATTTTCAATATATCGCCGATTTAGTCGATAAACGTTCGCCTAGGACGTCCCTTTTCGAATCTGCCGTGCACTTGTGCAACATAAATTTGCTTTGTCACTCTTTTCTCATTCACTCTTTCTACATGATCAAACCACCGAAGCATTCATTTCTTAATCCTTGTCACAACATCATCTTGCATACCACACACACGACAATTCTCACCCTGTAACCCAGATTCAGCCCTACCATACTCCATAATGACAACATTTCTACTGCATTTATTCTACTCTCGTGCTTCTACTGCCACACCTAACTTTCACTACCATACGTTTACGTAGGAACTAACATAGCATTGTAAATTGCCTTACTTGCCTTTTTGACACATTCTGATTTTCCAAAATAGCGTGTAGAGCCCCATTCACTCTTTTTCCTGCGTTCACTCGTCGTTCTATATCCTTATCACATCTCCCATTCCTGCTAAATACGCATCCCAAATATAAAAACTCATCTACTTGCTCGACCACCCTTTCTATTCCGATTTCACATATCGTTTTAGTTTCTTCTAAGACGCGGTATACATGTGTAGTGACATCCTTTTTTTTTCGTTTCGTCTCATTTATACATAACACATCTGTCCTTCAATCATACATAATACCGCACACTTTATCCATCTTATCATTCATTGCTCCACATACATTCAGCGTAGCCAGAGCGGCTTCCGCAATCCACACGATATAAGAAGTTACTTATTAACCTTTTAAATGGCAGTGATTGACTCCTTGAAATTCTAAGTGATAGTAAATATCGAAGATCCACACTAGATTGAGTGACAACATTTTAAAATATCCAGGAATTCAATGGATGTAGGTGGCTCAGGACCGTGCTTTAGCAGCAGACTTGTAAAGGCTGTTGTTCAATGTTCAAGAGATGTAGTTTAAGATGAGTAACCACAGGAGCTTAGCTTGACAAAAGCCTAAGTCTTACCTTAAAGACAATCACATTATAATCGGAAGGAAAGGCAATATTAAATTAATATACTCTTTTCCTAAGCGAAAACAACCCTCTGACTGTCTTGTTAGTTTAGTGGCTGTAAACGCGAGTGCTGTTCATGAGGACCGGTGTTCAAAACCTTGGTCAAGCAAAAAAAGAAAAGTTGTTGAACTTTTTATATCATAAAAATTTTAGCAACAGCCCGGCTTCGGAAAGTTGGCTGTGCCTCGGAAAGCTCGTAAAACCATTGGACCGTGCCTGGTCTCTCTATGACCGTGTCGGGTTGCCATCCCATCGAACTACGAGAGTGAGGGAAATAAGAATGCACCTGTGTTGCGCAGAGAAAAGGCTAGCACCAAAAGTTAAAAGAGAACGTACCGGGGTAGAACACCAGGGGGTCCACTATTTGGTCATAGGGAATTAGAGCAGCTGACTTACTGAGTTATGCATAAGGTACATCACGCATAGTACCTATGCCAAATCCAGCTAGCTAGCTAGCCAGCATTACGCTTTGTTACACACGTGAGTAACTAAAATCACGTTTGTGTGGGGCTGTGATGTGACATAGGTGCAGGGTTTACAGGGCGAAGGCGTTGCGCACCCTTGATATTTTGTAACAGTATGCTTATAAAATATATTCATATATATTATATTTTTTAAATAACTTATTTTCGTCCCTCGGCAGTTCCCATTGACTCGGCTACCGATCTAATCGGATCACACAATACCTACCTTACGTCGGCTCTGGTACGGGTCGAATTAGATCAGGTCGGATCAGAAGTACTGCCTTATGAAAAAACTATTTTTTTCCTTTAAAACAAAACCAAAGACAATATGCAATAGATAATAGTATCAAAGACAAAGATATGCTCTTTTATTTTAAACCATAACCTGGCAATGTTTCTTAGAAAAAAAAAAAGAAATCACTCTGAACTTTCGGCGTTCCACGTGTCGTTTTGATGAAGGTGCTCCGTCTTTTTTATAGAATTTTATATTTGTGTCTGGACTAAAAACGAAAGTTTTATACTTTTTTATATTCCTTGTAATATAGTGAACACGTAGATATATAATTTGTGGTATAAAAAGTGAAAAGTAAATTGCCAAAAGTACTTCAAAATCTGGAAGACCCATTTTGGCGGTTGGGTCATAAATGTGTTATTTTTCAAATTCTCATTTATTTTTAGTGTAAAATGTAAGTAAAAATAGTTTTCTTACATATTTCAAATAACTTGACGTTATATTTATTTCAAATTCACACATAATTATTTTTGAAATATTGTTCTAAATGTCACACAGATAAAATATTATTATTGTTTTTTTTTTTAATTTTTTAATATTTTAATATTTTGGTATGAGTAACGAATGGAAACATATAAAACATAAAAATATACATATTTCCAAACATTTTCATATAAATTTCTCCAAAAACAAAAGTGTAGAATTCAAATTAGTAGTAATTTTGTCACTAAAATTGAAGTATATGCTACTACTATGCTATACAGGGTAATTTATGTATTTTATTACAATTTCTAGCAACCAAAAATAATTTTATTCGATATTTTATACATTTAACAAGAAATCCTGTAAGTTTTATCCATAAATATTGTCTCAAAGTGAATATATAGCATAATTTGCAATATAGCAAAAAATTTTCTAACTTACAAATTTTCCCGCCATTAAGGTCCCGAGCGAACGGGAGTATAACATGTCGCGCGCTGTCAGAGCCATGGGGTTAAGGGATTTGTCAGTGCCTGGAAAATTTAATAGGGTTACGTAGTGCTATAAATTTGAGAAAGACTGGCCAACGTATCTAAAGAGAAGTGAAAATTATTTGCTGACGCTTAAAACTGAACTGTATAAAGTGTTGAGAAACGGTTAGTCAGGAAGTAAAGTCTTGTCAAGCCACGAAACTCGACGGAACATTAATCACTCGGGTTTCTACACAGGGTAAATTTTCCTTTTTATTGAGACATACCGTTGTAGCGAATTTATAAGTTAAACATATTTATAGTTTTTTTTATCGAATTAGAGTTTTGAGATTAATTAATTTTGAATTTAATCTGACCGCGGAGTGACGGAGAAAGAATATCCACTGCTTCATATCTTCCCGTGAATGTTTTAAGAGGTCGCAGAGGGAAACAGCAACAGGAGATTGGCAGCGGCTTCTTCCTGATAACAATACAATACAAAACAATACTCTTTATTGTTCACCATCAAAAGAAAAAAATTCAAATTTCAAATGCAGAGCGCTCCAAATTTTACCAAATTATGACGTTGCATATGAAACATCGGAGTAATTTAAAAAAGTCAATTTTTCAAAAATTTTCTTCTTCAATATCTTATAAACGGATAGATTGATTTTCATGTTCAAAACGGCATTAGACGCAACTTTTTAAGGTCTGCAAATAATGTAAGAAGCACAAACTTGCTCGCTTGCGAAATTTCGTAGTTATGTTAAAAAAAAAAGTTTTTTTCAAATTCTTTCTCCTTCGATATCTGACGAACGTTTAAACCGATTTTTATTTTCTAGAAGGCATTCGACGTCATTTTTTAAGATTAAGAGCTGATAAGTTTTTGAAGCCAAAATATATTCCACATTGATATCTTTAGAACGCCGCAAACCGCATCTTAATCGATCAAGACATTCAAAAGTTATGAAAGGTTTACATACTACACACACACACACACACACACACACACACACACACACACACACACACACACACACACAAATCCCATCACCACTAATCCCAGCACCACTACTCTAGGAAAGACACACCATCGACGATAAAATGGCACGTGTTTTTCCTCTACATGAGGCATCTTCAATCTTCAAGTTCATCTTCATATCACAGAACTAAGTCTGCTAGCTAGTTTTGATATGTGTGTGTATGTGGTATTGGGAGTAGTGGTGTTCGGAGTAGTGGTGCTGGAATTAGTGGTGACGGGATTAGTGCACGCAATTGAGGGAGGGCGGGAGGTACTCTTTAAACTAGGTAAGACAAATCATTTTATTTTATTGAGTGTACCGTGGTTGCAAAGTAACTATTAATCTTTAGTACTTTTCATAAAGGTTTTGTTCAAAATAAGGTTATATCATTACGTCCGTGTGTCTCGAGACTTGTATACGTCACTTGTCCCGGAAGAGTGATGACGCGGTCTAATTGAGATTTAATACACAAGCATGCGTTCTATCAGACGCTAATGGAAAAAATATTGCCTTAACAAGCTTACTGGCTGGACTTAGAGTTATATTGATACTACGTAGTTTTAGGGATAACATGTTTAATTAAAATAAGGTTTGCAAACCAGAACATTGCTATTCTGGTATTAAGCGGTCCATGGAAATTGCTATAACGTTATTAATAACAAAATGTTTTAATCTTTGGGCTAGGGAATCTCAGTGACTGCTCCTTCACAGCAAAAAGCAGTTTCAATGACTCACTGACGATGCGAAACGATGTTGCATCTCTTTGTATATTCTATCGCATCTACAACGGGGAGTGTTCAATATAATTGTTAGGACTAGTTCTGAGTTTTTTTACTAGTACAACTTGAGTACTAGT